ATTACATGAAAAAAAAGGTAAGAGAAGTCATTTTAACTTTTATCCCACATTATTAATAAATATAGTCTAAATATTCCACTATACCTATATAATTAACATCATCAGACTCTTTAATTAATGAAATTAATATATATTAAATTATGATCTTTATATTTTTTAAAAATTTTAAAGTGTACCTTTTAACTGAAAAATATGGGAAAGGCTCGAAAAAAACCTTCCACATGTAACATCACATCATTAAAACCCTTAAAAAGTTATTTTCGTAAAACGCGTCTTTAAAAGGCTTGTTTTGTGAAATGTGTCTTTATGCATTTTTGTCAGAAATACTGTTAGTATAGTGTATATTCGAGATAGAGTGTTAGAATGATACTTTTAAATTATTAGGTGATATTAGGATAAAATTACCACAAAAAGGGTAAATCAATGTGCACTTGAAATGTTGGGAATTTTATTAGAAAAAACCCCTAAAATTAATTTATTAGGAAAATGCCCAATAAGAATTATTTGAAATAAAAACCCTCTCAAATTACTTGCACAAGACTACCTCGCGCTCAGTAAAACGTGTATAATAACCTCGCGTTTCATAGGATTTGAGACTGTCCGACGTGTAAGCATTTTTCAGATAACCAAATTTAATATTATGATAAAAATACTCGCGGTATGTAGAATGTGAGGTTCACCAAAAATTGAATTTATTGCAGGTAGTATTTAACAAATATGGCGCCTACAAAATGCGAGGTATATGCATTTCTAGTCCACATTGCAAGTATTTAGAGGCATGTTCAAGGGATATTTTTGAGTAGTTAATTTTGTTTTTGTAATTTATAAGATTAGAGTCGTGTTGGAACTAATCTTTCAGTTGGAGTTAATATCAAGACATAAAGATATTGTAAGTGGAATAAAAAAAACCACGTTGAAAATGGTTCCAGAGCTTGGTGTTGTGCATGAATAAAAAAACTAAATGGTTTGATAGACATATTCGAGGGGTATTTTCGGGTAGTTAGCATGGAAATTTCCTAATTTATAAGATTAGAGACACAATATTAGTACTTACGTTTCAATAGAGGCTAGTATCGGTACATACGAGACATTGTAAGTGATGTAAAAATCACGTTAAAAATAGTTCGAAACTAAAAGAAATTGAAAAGTAATGAACATATTTTGTTAATTACAAAAGTACTACAATGAAAAAAACAATTCATCGATACGAGAGCATGGTTGATTAGAACATTTGTTTTTCACGTGCCCAAAATTCCTACAGATAATGCATAATTTTCAGTTGTCCAGTTCTTTCTAGATGTTCAACTCAATCCTCATCATAATAAATCCACATTGATAATGGGCGACTTCTTTTCACACATTATAGTGCAAAATTTTATCATATAGTAAGTTCATCATCAACTTTATCCAAATCTCATTAGTTTCCAATGAAAAAAAAACTTATATTGATAAACCTTGTTTATTTCAAGTAAATATACCAGATCAACAAATTACATGTAATAAATCCGTCCATAAAAACAATCAGCAATTGAACACGTATAGTTATTAAATAAAATACATAATAATGTTTGTCTATTTACAGGTCCAAATATATTACAAGTCCAACAACAATTGAAGTGCAAGGAAGTCCACGTGGAAGATCCATCCATTAGCAGTTAGGTTTGAGTTTCTTCTCCAGTGTGGCGCAACAGCAAGCATTGGATCTGAACTCATCCAATGATCCAGATTGCCCCCCAAAAGTAAGGTTTTCTTAACCCTAGATGGTATCATCCCAAATATCAACCCTAGCCGCCGCCAAGTACCTAACAGCCCACACCAGCAGCCACGATAACCACCAACATCCATGTCGGCTGCCATCTCAACGAGCACACCGCCCAGTAGAAATCAAGCATGCATCCTCACGTGAGGACCCTCCCACATCGGCAATGTCCTTGCCACTTCAGACGCCATTATCGTTTGCCACATCAGTCGAGGGACCACTGGTCCCTCACCCTCCTCCCATGGCCTGCAAATGGTTTTGACAGTCCTGCAAATATCCATGCAGCCGAGAGAAAGTGACGGTCTCCTTCCCGTTTTAGCATCACCTCACGAGAGATTTGATTATGATATATTTTTTTCAATTCAGTATGATATGTTTTAATTTTAACTTGGATTTAAGTTAATTAATTTCAGGTTTGTCATTCAAAACGGTTTACCCCATCCAAACACCATTACTAACAAATATTAGTTAATAATGATAATAATAATAAATCCAATCTCATTTGTTAGTTTGTTTATCGACCCATTTATTCAATTCTCAATTTTCTTTTATTTATTTTATATTTTAAATATTGATGAAAGTATGGAGTAAATTGAAGACACAGTAAGCTCAAGAGTTCAAACTGTGAAACTAAAGAGCTTAAAGACCAGTGCTATAATTTTATCATTTTTCTTTAGTTTGCAAATAAAAGATAAAAAAGAAGAAGAAAAGTTAGTTTTAAACAAATATATTCACAAATGGTAAATGAAATAATTACGAACATATTTAAAAATAAATAAACGAACACAAATTTAATATGAACATCTTAAAAATAAACAAACGAACACAAATATAATTTTATTCTTTCATTTTCGGTTCATTTACACTCCTATTATGAATATACTTAGTGCTAATTATTATTTGGGCCGATTAGTCCTAGATTGAAATAAACCCAACAATCATAAGTAAAAGGCCCATCGGACACCAAGAGTCCACCTGCGAAGCTGACATGCAGAACCGGGCCTCACTATCCCTTTTTGCTTAATGATGGATCCACCATAACTGGATCCGCTGACGTGTCTTCCTCTTCCCTTCCATGGTGCCAGGCAAAATTAATCTGAGAATGCGCGTTGCAAACAACCCACCACTTTGTCACCGCATGCAACAGTCCCACTCTTCCACCCTTTTCATTGGAACGTCTGTTGCAAACGCAGATTTGAGGCATGGGCTTCAGACTTTCATGAAGCATGTAAACTAAAAGGGATAAATTACCGTAATGATAGCTTTTGTTTCATGACCATTCACTTCTGCTCACCAAATTTTAAAAAGTAACATTTTAAGTTATTTATGGTATAGTTTTATATTGTTTTGATCATTAAGACATTAAATCACGTTAGTTTGACTATGTGGTACGTTAGTAGAAGGATTTAATTTTTAATTTAAAATTTAAATATAATTTTTATTTTATCCTTAAATTACTTTAATTTTTTCGTCCATATTGCTCTCTATCATCATCGATCATCACTGATTGTCATCAACTATCATTTCAATAACAATTAAACTCCAAAATTTTTATTTTGCTCCTTTTTATCCCCTTAAACATGGATTTAACATTTTGTTTCATAAAAAAATTGAAACATGTAGCAGTATTTCTTAAGAGACTAGCTCAAAACACGTCCAAAGTTACTTGTTTCATGTTTACAATGGCAAGACTAGAAGGATTTGAAGGTCATTAATTTTTTCCTAATATTATAAAATAGATATAATTTTGGACGTGATTAAGAAGCACAGCATATGAAAATGTTTAATATATAAAACAAATATACATATTGTAACAACCACAATCGGTATCTGACCCGAATACGAATTAGATATGTCACATTGACTTTTCGAATCATTGATTTTTAGAAAGTAGTGGAAAATTTAAATTTTTTCTTGTATTAAAATAGTGGAACCCTTAAATAAAAATAAATAATAAATTTCAAATTCATATTGGAAATAAATACTTCATAATGTACATAAATACAATAAATTATGTTTTTAAAAACTAATCAGAGCATTTCCATTTAAAACATGGTAATACATGCCAACAATATTTACAAAATTAGTAGAAACCTACTATTCCAAATGGCTGATCTGATCTTCCCGTCGTATGCTGTCATTTCCTAATCTTCACTCTTCCAATCTCTTGGAACCTAAGTGTGAACCATTCACACATTAAGTTATTGACTTAGTGAGGCAATAAAGAGTATAAAATAAAATATTTCAAAACCATTTATCATTTGATTCATATAAAGCATTTCATAATTGAATTAAAATATGTTTTCTAACAAAACGTATCAATTTACTAACTGTTCAACTTGTATCATTTTATTCTTTTAGCCCAATGCATAACACTAAGAATTCAAGGTATCTGAGTACATTGAGGTTGTGCATAAATGCTGTCACCACAGCTCATATAAATTGCACCGAAGTGCCACGTAGAATTTGTCCCGAAGGACCACATAGATTGTCCTGGAGGACTGCGTAAAACCCTCGACTCTTGGCATGCCAACTATACCCCTAATTCTCATACATATACATTGAGCTTTAATTTATAATTTTTTTTCACCATAAACCTAAACTCAACCCGACCAAACTTGAACCCAACTTTTTTTTTAAAAAAAATCCTATTCAATTGGATCGGGTCGGGTTGAAACCCATCAGCTTCGGGTGTCATGCCCAAACGCCCATCTTCAAATACATAGGGGCGGGGTCCAAATTCCTGTTAGCCTTGTTATACCCATTTGGAAAAGCGTCGCCGGCGCCGACGCCTCCGTTGTTCATGGCGGTGTCTATCAACTGTATCCCAGCTGTATGCTCTCTTCTTTATTAAACTTCTCTAATTTTCTTTTGATTTTGTTTTCTTTTTGATTGATATAAACTAAGATGTAAAAGGATGAGAATGTTTTTGGATAAATGTTGATTAATTATTGTAACAATATGGAGATGTTGGGTTTGAGCAGATGAATATCTTCCAATTTAATTTGTTAGGGGAGCTTAATGGTTTTCCTTTCAATGGAATAATTTGAATTCGGTAATGTGAATTTTACGTGAAGAGTGCAAATTAGTTTTGTTTGTTTTTCAGTTGTAGGAGTGAGTCCTCTCGGAATTGATTATCGGAACATGGCGGATCCCGAGCCAGGGAGGTGTATAAAAACGGGGGAAAAAATGGTGGTGCAGTAAGAATGTGATTCCTTATCAGAAGTATTGTTTGAGACACATGCATAGGGGTTGTCGTCGGCGTTCAAGAAAGCCTGTGGAAATTTCTAAGACTGCTTTGCGTGACTCGACACAGGCTAAAATTTCCATCGAATTATGGGAAAACTCGAAAAAACTTTCAGCACCTGTAAGTTCTCAAAACATGAACCAGTCTTCCTGTAATAACAGCACAAGCCATAAGACCCGTGCTGTCACTACTATAGGAAGCAACAATGTATGCAGCAACCGAAAGTCCATTAATGCCAATGCCGAAACTAGTAGCACCATCATCACCGCAACAGAGAACGACGAGAAAAATGATCCCAAAAGGATCAAAATCGTGACTAATACTAGCGAGAAGTGTGAAGAGAAACCCTCTGTTAGTGATGGTAGTAGCATCAATAGAAGCTGCAAGAGTGTAAACAGAGTCACTGTCGCTCATAATATATCTCCGACTGTGGGCTTTTCTCCAAAAAGCGTTCTTCAAGTTAGCGGTACACATTTATATAATGTTCCCAGTACATGAATCTCACCGCTACTCCATTCGAGGACCTTCTGATCCCGTGTCTGTTTTGGCTATAAAAACATGTTATATATGATCAAATATATAGGTCCTTTGAATTTGGTTGTGTTGCATGTGTTCATGATCGTTTCTTGCAGGAATCATTTGATAGTCTGCATTGTTTGCTAGTCCAAAAGATCTATCGGAACTTCGGAAGGTTCTTTTTGAATCGAGAAGAATTCTTCCATGTTATTCCATATATTTTACAATGTCATTTTAGCTTTAGTAGTTTATGCTTCTATAATGTAGGTGCTGAAAAATGTTGTTATTCTTTTGGGTACTAAGCAACAACAGCAGTTCCCTCGTTTCCAAAATCCAACTAGAGCTTGAACCGGGGAGGTGTAGAAGAACAGATGCGAAATGATGGCGGTGCAGCAGGGACGTTATTACCGATCAAAAATATTGTGCACGACACATGCACAGAGGTGCTAGAAAGCACCCCGAGGTTTCCCAGTCTGTTGCTACTTCGACTATCGGTGATTTTTGACCTAGTAAATTAACAATAGCCAACAGACCAGCATGTTCAGCCCCGAGCACCAGTCTGTCTATCTCTATACCAAGTCCTCCGCTCATTACTCGAGATGAAAAGAGTATGAGCAGCAGCAGCGAGACGACCATCAGCAACACCATGCTTACCATCTTGGACAATGGTAACTTCTATGCCAACTCGAGATAATTGAGGCGTTTCTTCTTGTAGACATGATAGGATATATTGGTATATCCATCTGCGATTACTTTATAATACTCAGATATCAGTAGCCAATACTTGAGTTGAAAATTTTTGTTTAGGTAGAAAAAGGGTGCCTTCTATTGCGTATTAAGGTGTGCAAAATGGGACAGCTCTTACTTTAATGTACTTAATTTCCCTCTTGGGGTTCTATATGCTAGAATTTTTTAATTTTCTCTCTTAAATTGGTACCATATTTTTGATTAATCTAAGTTGGTACCATTTAATTCTAAATATTAACTCAATACGACGTGAAATTGAATTACACTGTTCCAACTTTCATTTATGGTTGGAACTACTAACCGCCATCATAAAAAAATTAGCTTCATCAATGAGCATATCATTTTCAAACCAATTCTTGACTTGCAACAAAAACCAATGTCTGCCGCTAGAGATGACAATGGGTCGGGTTTTGCTCAAACAGATATGACCTGAAAAATATACTACACCTAATTTGACCCGACTCAAAAATTATATATCCTCCAATCGATTTCGACCCAATCCGAATTTTTAAAGTATAAATCTGATTCGACCCGGTATAAAATAAGAGTTCATTAAAAAATAATAATTTTTTAAACAAACTACATTATTATCCTTGGGTCGGGTTGGAGTTTTTTTAGCCATCCACATGAATCCAATCCTCGCTGAGCTTGAATTTTTCTAAAAACAAATTTTCTATCTTATCGGATCAGGTCGGATATAAATCCATCGGTTTGGGGTTAAATTGTCATCCTTACCGGTAAGCAAGACAAGTACAGGTCACAGTTATGCAGGTATAAACATGCACTCTATTCAGCTGTAAAATTTAGAACAAAGGCATGCACATATTGGCCAATTTATGCATTCACTGGAATACATATAAGTTAGTATGAGCATGATCAATCTAAAAGTTCTTGAAATATAAAAAATTAAAATGTAAGCAGCAGGCTTGGGGGAAGATGGGCCACGTGTAACTGAATCATTGATGGTGACTACAACTGCAACCAAACTTCGGGGAAGATGGCGATGTGTAACTGAGGCGACATAAATGGTGAATACTACTGCAATTAAGAGTTTGGGTTATCTTCTCCATTGGAGAGGAACAGGAGCATATAACTTGGTAGAGAATAAGCCACAAAATTAAAAAATCAAGAGGCTCTAATTGGTGAAGGATCTTGAATAGAAAAAGACACCACCTAATGTAAACGTGAGCAAGGAGATAAATATCAAAACATGGTAGTTTAACACCCGCCACACGGTACCCTCTGTCCCAATCCCTTCGAGAAGCATAAGCGAAAACGTTCACGAAAACTCGTCTCATTTTCTTGGCTGCCAAACAGAATTTCCTCTCCATGGATTTCTCCGACTCATTTACCTTCACAGCTTCGCTGCTGCTGCTGCTGCTGCTGCTGCTCGTCTCACTGATCTCCATCAAGTTCTTCACTTAAAACTGAGTCAAAATCGGAGACAGAACAAGTATCATCCCGTTGCCGGCACGTTCGTTAATCAGCTCCTCAACTTCAATAGATTGCATCATTATATGACAGATCTTGCGGCCAAGTATCGGATCTACCGGCTGCTTACCCCCTTTCGGAGTGAGATTTATACCTCGGAACCGGCCAACGTTGAATATATGCTAAAAACGAACTTCGTTAACTTTGGAAAGGTACATTCCCGTTTCTTTATTTTTTTCACTTCAAAAAGTACGATTACTTGTGTAGTAGAAGAAAGTAGCTCGATCTCTAATTAGATAGTAGAAAGTAGCTTGGTCTCTAATTAGATAGGAGTTGGAAACACCCAGATTTAGGTCTATTTTACCCAAAAAAAAAGCAACCTAAAAAGTTATCTGTTTGATTACTGAAACGAAATCTACATACAGAAATAACACGTTTCTGGTTTCCAATTTGTGTCGTTTTGTGGACAGGGTCATTATAATCACAGTTTACTAAGTGATTTATTAGGTGATGGAATCTTCACTGTGGATGGGGATAAATGGCATCAACAGAGGAAGGTATCAAGCTATGAGTTCTCAACAAGGGTCTTGAGAGATTTCAGCAGTGTTGTCTTCAGAGAAAATGTGGCAAAACTTGGAAATAAAGTGTCCGAGGCGGCAAATTCCAATGAGACAATGGACATTCAAGCAAGTTCAATGGGTGAGATCTAGTTGAATTTTGGGTAAACATATGGAATGAATCTTGTTCTTTTCTGCAGGATTTGTTTATGAAATCGACTTTAGATTCAATATTCAAAGTTGCATTTGGAGTTGAACTGGACAACATGTGTGGATCAAATGCAGAAGGCAAGGAGTTTGCGGCTGCTTTTGATGATTCCAGTGCTTTAACCCTTTTTCGATATGTCGACATCTTCTGGAGGATCAAGAGATTTCTGAACATTGGATCTGAAGCTGCACTGAAGAAGAATTTGAAAGTAGTTGATGATTTTGTATATAAGCTGATAAATTACAAGATCGAGCAATTGCGGGACTCGAAAGACGATTCTGAAGTAAGTGAAATGGAGCTACTTAAAAGCTTTTACATGAATTGATGTAGAATTTTGGGATGACTATTCTGTGGGATTATGCAGATGAAAAAGGAAGATATTTTAACTAGGTTTCTCCAAGTATCTGACACTAATCCAAAATACTTACGAGATATAATTCTCAACTTCGTAATCGCCGGCAAAGACACAACATCAGCCTCTCTGTCGTGGTTTATATTCATGCTTTGCAAACATCCTGATGTTCAAGAAAAAGTTGCTGCAGAAGTGAAGGAAGCGACTAAATCAATGGAGTCTGAAGATATTGCCAAATTCGCCACTAGCCTGAGCGAAGAGGCTTTAGAAAAGATGGTTTATCTTCATGCAGCTATAACTGAAACGTTAAGGCTCCACCTGCAGTTCCTGTGGTAAGGAAGTTTTCCGTGAACCTCGAATTCTCTTACTGAAAATTCTTGATTCATTTCCGGGAAATCGATTTACAAACCACTTCAATTGCAGGATGCAAAGGTATGTTTGTCCAATGATACTCTACCGGACGGGTTCAGTGTGAGGAAAGGGGATATGATTGCTTATCAACCTTATGCAATGGGTAGAATGAAGTTCATTTGGGGTGACGACGCAGAGTACAGACCGGAGAGATGGCTCGACGAGAACGGCATGTTCCGATCGGAAAGCCCTTTCAAGTTTACAGCTTTCCAGGTATGCAAGACATGCACTTCAACACTTCACGACTCGTTCTATGCTTCGGTCACCATTTCGGATCTCAAAATGTTTCACTGGTGTGATTTCAGGGTTGAAGAAGTGAAAATACTGACCTTTGTTTTCCATTGATTATCAGGCAGGGCCTCGAATTTGTCTGGGTAGAGTTTGCTTATAGGCAGATGAAGATCTTCTCTGCTGTGCTTCTCTCCGCTACTTTGTGTTTAAATTGAGTGATGAAAATAGAACCGTCACAAACAGGACAATGATCAACCTTCATGTAGATGGGGGCCTTCACGTTCGTGCGTTTCGTCGATGTCGTACTTAAAAACCAAAATCGACTCGTTGAAGCGAACAACTGCACGCTTTAAATGCATCTGTACTATGTGAAACTGAATCGTCCCTTAATCTAAAGAAGATGAGATCGGAAATTGCTAAATAAATGAAACTATGTTGTTTAGGCAATAATTTGCAATTGCATCAAACTAAACCATACTAGAATGGGTTTAATTCCCATCTTTTTGCTTGCAATTCCTTGCAAAATATTCCAACTAATTAAAAAAATCATAATGAACTTAATGCAAAGCTCTAAAAAAAAGTAATTAGGGTCTTATTCCCTGCTTTTTATCTGGGAATTATACACATATATATTTATAAAACTTGAAAGAACTGCCACATGATATGATATTTTGTTGCTTATCTCGAAACTATCGGTGGGAATTATTATACTTAACGTTATATTTTAATCTAGAAAAAAATCTTAGAATTATTATATTTAACGTTATATTTTATTCTAGAAAAATATATGAGAATTATTATACTTAACGTTACATTTTAATTTTGTTGCTTATTCATCATTAAAATAATAAACAATGATGTTGATATGATATTTTTAAATTATTTTTCGTTTTCCATTAAAATTATATTTTTTTTTGGCTATGAAGGGGTACACCCTGAGCGCCTCCCATTTTTTTATAAGGCTTCTAATTTTTCTATTATATTTTTTAAATTTAACCTTTTAATTTTCTTTAATTTTAGTTTTTTATCTTTATAATTGAGGTCCTAATTTTTAAATCCTATTTTTTTATCTTTATAATTGAGGCACTTAATTTTTTTTCAATCCAATTTTTTACATTTATAATTGATGATCCTAAGTTTTTCAATCCCGCTTTGTATCTTTATAATTGAGCTCATGATTTTTTCAATCTCACCTTTTATCTTTATAATTGAGGCCCCTAATTTTTTCAATATCACTTTTTACCTTTATAATTGTGGTTCCTATTTTTTTCCAATCATACTTTTTATTTTTATAGTTTAAGCCCCTAATTTAATAATTTTTATACGATTTATTAACACAATATTAAATTAATTATTCAAAGTGTTAGAATATACTTTCGTTTTATAAGTGTCTATATTTTAGTTTCGCTCAAGATCCCAAAAAATGTCTAAGACGAGTATGTATTTATTATATAGTTTATTAAACATAATAAAAAATCATTTACAAACAAATTCATTTATTTATTTTTGCTCTTATAATTTAATTTTTTCGATACTTATTGGAGGTCTAATTTTTATATTCGCCATGGGCCACTAAAATCTTAGAAACGGACTTGACTATAATTTTTAAAACATGTTAAGAGACTACCAAGTAATTATTATTTAGGGTTTGTTTGTTTCAAGTAAAATATTTTCTGGAATACGTTTTGCTCATTTTTCAGTGTTTGGTTAGAGGAAAACTAGTTGGTCAAAATAAAATATTTTCCTGGTCAACATAATTTCATTTGCATTTTTTGAAAATGACTAATGATCTAATTTTCCGTAAGTCATTTTCTCAACTTTTCACTTCAAAGAATAAATAATAAAATAATTTTATTTTATGTATTTAATATTATTATAATATTTTAATATCAATTTAATCAAAATATTAGTTATTAAAATATTAAAATATAATTATTAATATTTTAATAATATTTTTTAATATTATCATAATATGCTCAATTACATGTAATAATATAATATATTATATTTTTATTTCAATAATATATAATAAATTATTAATAATTAATAGTGTTATTTATATATTTAATATTAATATAATAATATAATAATATTTTAATAAATAATTTAAAATATATTAATTAATAATTTTCAAAATATAATATATTTTTTTGATTGTTGATTCAAAAAATATAATATAATTATCTTACTTTAATAAATAATTAATATAATTTATTATATTTTTATTTCAATAGAATGTACTAATTTTAATATTTTATTTATAAAATTATATAAAATATTTTAATGATAATGAATAAATTATTATAATATTTCAAAAATAATAATATTAAATTTTATAATAAATATTATTATTTATTGTATTTAATATTTATAATAATAATTTCTAAAAAATTGATCAATTAGTGAAAAATAATTTACACAACATCCATAAATAATTGTCTTCATCCTCAAAGTATATTCTAATTTTATGACGGCTTCGACAAGGACATTGGGCAACACAAGAGATTAGGAATCACAAAACTGCGTACACCTAAGGAGGTCACTCTGAGCCTTATATCCTCACTCGATACACTTAAAGTAACAGATAAGATGGACAGAGGAAATTGTACCATTAAGGTACACATTTTTTTACTGTTTTCTATGGCTTGCGTTCAGGTGCCTGCATTATAAATGCTTATCGTGTCATCAAGTCCGTTTATATGCACCTCATTTGCTTCTAGCTTTTTATCTTATTTTTTTGGATAATTTAATTTTTATTACCCAAAGAAGCAAAAATTCTACAAAAACAATATCTGATCACCTGGAGTAATTACATTCTAAAATACAAAATCAATCGGTTTAATCTATACCCCAAGAAATACCTACAAGATCTTTAATGCTTTTGAAGATGTCAGCTGGATTTCGAGACCAACCTTTGAAGATTCTACGATTCCGTTCCTCCCACAGAACATAAACGTTAGTGTTCCAAGCGATTTTGAGAATAGCGGTTAAGAGAGACTTGTCTTTCCATAAATTACTTGCCCAAACAACCATTTCTTCCCAGGATCGAACTGTCTTTTTTAAACCACAAAGGTGAAGGATATTCTTTCTTAAATAAGCAGCAAATGGCAGTCAAAGAACAAGTGATTTCGAGTTTCCTGCATGCCGTTACAAAGAACACAAGTCCCAGAAGAAATGATTCCCATACGTTGTAATCAGTCTCTAGTGGGAAGCCTATCTAATATAGCCATCCAACCAATTAAACTATGCTTGGGAATATGATGTGGGAACCATATAAAGTATGCCATGTCTTTTTGTCCCCCTTGTTTCTAATCTCTTGCCAAATTTGTCTAATAGAGTGGGTTCCATTCAACAATAACGAAGAGCTTCAATTCTGAGCTTGAAGATTTTCCTAAGACTCCAGCTTGTGTTTGCATATTCGTTCATAGTCCTAAAATCAGATTCTTTTAGAACATAAGCATGGATCCATACAACCCATAATGAACATTCACCTGCAAGAATATTTTTAATATGGTTAATCATACAAGCTATGTTCCATTCTTTCAGATTTTTCAGTCCTAATCCTCCCTCAGATTTCAGTTTGCAAATGTTCTGGCAACTGACTCTCGCACCTGTAGCTGATTTATCAGAGCCTTTCCAGAAAAAACGTGAGCATAGCTGTTCAATTTTGCTGATTATTGAGTAAGGTAGCAGCAGCTGTCTGCACCAATAATTAGCAATGCTGAACAACACTGCTCTAATAAGTTCTAGCCTTTCTGCGTAGCTCAGTGTCTTTCCAGACCAGAGATTGAGTCTGGATTTGATGATGAGAATGAGGGGTTCACAATATTTTTCAGTGAGCTTTCTTGTAACAAGAGGAATTTCCAAATATTTAACAGGCAGTAAACCATGTTAAAAACTAGTAGCTTGTTTGATGAGATCAATATTATTAAGAGAGATACCAACACAATAGAAAGAGCATTTAGAAGCATTAAGATTAAGACCAGATACTCCATAGAATTATTCCAGCACAGAAATGACTCCTATAACAGAATCAACATTACCTTTGCAAAAGATCAATAGGCCATAAGCAAAGTGAGACCTATTCTTTGGCATTTAGGGTGGAAGCTAAACAAGCCTTTTTCAACAGCAAGATTGAGCATTCTTGATAGGACATTCATAGAAATAACAAAGAGAATAGGAGAGAGGGGATCTCCTTGTCTTATGCCTCTTGCTCCATTGAAATATCCAATCAAATTACCATTGAAAGAAATTGAAAATCTAGCCTCAGTAAAACATGCTTCAACCCAATTATTGAACTTTAGGGGAATATTTAAAGCTCTTAGCACAGAAGAGAGAAATCCCCAATGGAGATATCAAAAGCTTTTTGAAGATCAATCTTCATTGAGCATCTAGGTGAGATAGTTTTTCTACCATATCCTCTGACCAGTTCTTGAGCAAGAAGGGTGTTATCCACAATACTCATTTCTTTTATAAAAGCAGTTTGATTTAAATAGATTAAGTCAGGAATGAAGCAAGTAAGTCTCTAGACTAGGATCTTTGTGATAGCCTTATAAATAACAGTACAACAAGCAATTGGCCTGAAGTCCTTGACTTTGCATGGATTGGGATTTTAGGAATCAAAGCCAGAGTGGTTGCATTAAAAGCAAGGAGGAAAAAAGTATGCTGGAAAAAGTATTTGATAGCCGCCACTACATCCTCACCAATAATATGCCAAGCAGATTTGAAGAACAGAGGAGTATAACCATCAAGGCCAGGGGCCTTATCATTACCCTGGCAAAAAAAAACTTCTTTGATTTCTTGAGTGGTGATATCTTTGGTCAGGAAAGATGGAGAAGTAGAGGGAAAAGAGCATTTCAGAAAATCAGTAAAAAACTGAGGATCGGGGACATTAACTTTGGGATCAGCAATCCCAAGGAGTTTGGTAAAGAAAGAAAGTATTTCGGAAGACATTGCATCAAAGGATTCTAAACGATTACCCTGGTCATCAATAAGCATCCTAATAGTTTCCTTCTTTTTCTTAGCAGCAACAGTCAAATGAAAATTTTTTGAGCATTGATACCCTTCTTTAATCCATTTCACCTTTGCTTTTTGTTTTAAGAAATCTAACTCAGCTTCTTCTAAGTTTTGCAGTTCATGCTGAATCTGCAATTCTTTTTCAATTAAATTTTCACCCTTCAGAGAGAGCAATTGATGATTTTCCAATTTTATTCTTTTGAGTTTAACCCGAGTAGAAATATCACTAAAACAGGAAGAATTAAGATTCTTGAGGCAGAATTTGAGGTGTTTTACTTGTGGAACAAAATCTGCATAGGGTTACCTTGAAAAGGAGTCTGCCAGGAATTCTCAATCTCAGTCAGAAAATTCGGGTGAGAAGTCCAGAAATTAAAAAATTTGAAAGGCTTAGGTCTATTTATGGGGTTATCTTTAGAAAACCGGACCAATGCCATACAATGATTGATATACCTGGGGAAGAAATTCAACAAATGAACTTTGAATGATGTTAACCCAATTAGAGTTAATGAGAACTCTGTCTAGCTTTCTAGCAATGTAGTTTTCAGTTTGCTTGTTGCTCCAAGTGAATAAAGGTCCAATGAAAGGGTGGTCATGGAGGTCAAGATCTTGAGTTAGATCTTGAAAATCTTTCATTTCAGAAGTGGAAAAGGGACAGAGGAGCTCATGGTCAGAGCTTTCATTAGGCTGCAAAATGATGTTAAAATCACCTCCAAGGATCCAAGGGAGGTGACCAATGGATCTTTCCAGGTCTTGAATATGCTACCATAGCTGTCTTCTGGTTATATTATCATTGCTACCGTAGACTGCTGATAAAACAAATGTTTGACCCAGAAACTGACCTTTAACAGAAATAATCTGGTCATAGACTTGAATTGTAGTAAGATCGATATTCTTTTTCCAAAGAATCCAAATTCTCCCATTATTAGCAAAATCATAATTGGAGCTAACATTCCAATTGATTAGTTTAGAGTGAAAGATGTCCTTAGATTTGTCAGCCTTAACTCTTATTTCTAAAAGACATAAAATATCAACATTGTTCTGAGAAGCCCTAAGAAGGACTTTGTATTACTTTAGAGGATGGTTGAATCCTCTAATATTCCAGAAACTTACATTCATTGAGAAAGGATTTTCAGTGGGGTTTTTTCCTCCCGACTGTAGCACTTTTGATTTTATTCAAATTTTCTTTTTTTTTTCTTTTTAAGATCTTTAACAAGTTCAACCACTCCCTTTGAAGCAGTTCTAATTTTCCTTTGTGGAACATCTTGACTAGGGGGATTTCTTCAGTAGAACTAAGTAACTCGAATCTATTATTTGAACCAGCACAATCAGCCTTTTTCTTAGAGGGTCTTCCCCTACCACGTTTAGGAAATGTAGAGTTATTTTCAGGATGCGTTGAATGATAAGAACTGAGTTGGTTTTCAATAGCTGAGTTAGCTTGAAGATCATCTTGATTTTGACAGAATTGAATGACAAAACTGTCTCAAGATTTGTATCTAAAGGATCAGTGGGAGGTAAGTCTGGTAGTACAGGCACGACAGAAAGTTCAGGATTTGAAGATTCAGCAGAATTAGCATCACTTGGAGGAAAATCCTTAGGAGATATATCAGAAGTGGACGGAATTAGAGGAAGAACTTCTCCATGAGAGTTGGCAATTGATGATTCTTTGATTTTTCAGACTTGATTAGAGGCTGGAATTACACTGTGTTTAACCAAACAATTTTTATCAATGTGACCAAAGACCTTGCATTTCCTACATCTAGGAGGAAGCCAAGGTATTTCAATGAAAACAGAGGTTGATTGTCCATTCTGAAGAACAACTTCAACTTGTTTGGGGATATCATCACTCACATCAATTTCAACACACACTTTTACAAATTGCAATCTTGTTCTATGAGCAGTGACAGAGTCTATTGAGATGGGAATCCCTATTCCGCTTGCTATGTAGCTTAAACCTATTTGGTTGAATAACTCGAGTGGAACATTATAAAGATGAACCCAAATTGGGATTTTTAAAAGATAAAAGTATAGTTGTTTTAAGCTAGATTCCCATTTCCTTAAGATCAACTGTTTATTAAGAATGTGCCATGGTCCATTTTCTAAGACTCATTCTCTAGCAGCATCAGAATCAAAAGAGAAAATAAAGATGTTAGGGCCTGCTAGACTGACATGAACCCGAGAACCTTGAAGCGCTTTTGTCCAAAGATTGTCAACAATACGCTGCATTGTTGTGAAATTTGGTGCTGGACCCAAGAATTGCCCTACTAGGGAAAGTTTCCACTCTGAAATTCCAGCTTCCAGAATCTCGGCTGGTGGGATGATCGTCGGTATTCCATCTTTGACTTTCGGAGGGAAAAAATTGAGGCTGTTGCTTGTGGAACTCCCAAATAATTTTCTCCAATCCATCGATCGATAAGAGCCAGGGAAGGGACAAACGAAGATGAAGACCTCCTTACTTAATAACCCAGAACGTGCGAAGAAGAGACCACCGGAGACACGACAAGATCTCGGAGTCCGTTAGGCCTGCTAACGTGCACCCAGAGAGAAGCCACTATCATGCGCCGCGAGAGAATCCAATACTTATTTTTGATAGCACAAAAAAAAGAGAATTATTTTTATCTTATTTGGTGTGTTCTGTAAATAGGGATTTTGTTCTTTATTTTTTGTCTGGTTTCTCGTTTCCTGATAAATATAGTTAAATCTGTATACTTCCTGCTTGTGTACCATAAGTTTAGCAAGGAGGAGCAACTGATTGCTTTGGAAGAAGAGAAGAGGATCCTCGAAGAGCGGAAGAGATTGAAATAAGCTGGAGCTGTAGGAAGCACAATGGATGCACTTGACGGAGCAGCATCATTGGTTGGTACAGGTATCGTGCTGGGGTTGGACTTGTAGGGAGTGGTGTAGGTGCTGG